AGAGACAGTCAAGGCGAAGGAGGAGGAGGGAGAGGCATATATAACAGAGATTGAGGTCAGTATCGCGTGGACGTCATATGTCGTAGCGTACTCTCCCGCACAAGCTGCTCCCATCATGTGCACATCCTCGCAGGAGAGAAAAGAATCAGGATATAGCGGTTAGCAGGAATCGAAAAGACTCAGGCTAGGCTGCTGTAAGGATGAGCGCACCTTTTTGCAGCCGCCCTCTTGTAATGATGTGAAAGGATGGATGCGCGCACTCTCGCTTCCCTTTCTTTCCTTCCTCTAGACCACAAGAGCAGCATACGAGGAGACGGCGTTGCAGAACTGGCGTAACTCACAGCAGAAGGGTTCCGAGCCTTCCGTTGTCCCCCTCTCTGCCCCTCCCGTTTCAGACCATAGGAGCGGCGTACGAGGAGATGCAGTCGCAGAACCGGCGGCTGCTGCAGCAGATATCGGAGCGCGACGAGTACAACACGCAGCTCATAGCAGAGGGGGTCAAGGCCAGGCAGCTGCAGGCGTCGCTGCAGGCGGACAAGCTCAGCATGGAGACGCGCATGCAGCACGCCACGGCTGCTGCCGACGTGCACAAGCAGAGGGTTGCGAGGCTAGAGGAACAGGTATGCAAGGGAAATGTGGGGGGGTATGGAGGGGTATGGAGGGGCATTGAGGGGTATGCAGATATTTGCTGGTAAGCGCTCCAGCTGCAGGCGGACAAGCTTAACATGGAGACACGCACGCATGCTGCACGCCACGGCTGCTTCTGACGTGTACAAGCAACGGTGGCGAGGTTGGAGGAGCAGGTGTGCAGGGGAATGTGGAGGGGTATGCGGCAGGCAGCAGGGGAATGGGGAGGGGTATGCAGGTGGGCCAGGCGGCTGCCGGCGTCGCTGCAGGCGGACAAGCTCACCATTGGACACGTGCATGCAGCACGCAACAGCTGCCGCTGACATGCACAAGCAACGTGGGGTGAGGTTCGAGGAAGGTATGCAGGGAAATGTGTAAGAGAGTACCGATAGACAGGGAAATGTGTATGAGTGTGCCGGTAGGTATACAGGGAGGACGCGAGGTACATGGTGGGGTGGGGATTTGGGAGGGAGTGGAGCCAAAAACATGACGAGATGGAAAGGCAGTCTGCAGCAGCTAACTCTCCCTCCGTCCTTTCAACCCTCTACCCTTCCTCCCCTCGTATTTCCCCACAAGCGCCCCCCCCCCCCCCTCCCCGCCCGCCCTTCTCCCCCCCCTCCTCTACCTGCTCCCCTCATCTCCCCTCTACGCGTGCAGGTGAAATCGGCGTGGGAACAGATGGGCAAGGCGATGGAGGACGCGAGGGGCATGGCGGGGAGTGTGGAGGCGGGGAAGAGGAAGCAGGCGGAGATGGAGAGGGAGACGGCCGCCGCCAGGGAGGCCATGGAGGGGCTGCAGAAGGACCTGGCTGCACGGAACACTCAGATGGTGGAGGTGGAGGAGAAGCTCGAGGGGGAAAGGTGAGGCGCGGGTTGATTGGGGGAATTGACTCGTGTGTCTGTGTGTGTGGTGGGTGGGAAGGTTGCGGGGGTGGGTAGAGGGGGTGGGAGGTGAAAGGTGTGTGTCTGAGTCTGAGATAGGGAGGAGAGGGGGAAGTGCTACAGAGGGACCCGGCCATACGGAGCACACAGGGTGGAGGTGGAGGAGACCCTGGAGAAGTGGTGAGAAGGTGGGAGAAGGTGACTGAAACACGACTCCACGTTGTGTGGTTGTGCGTATATGGGCATGCTGGTATGTGTGCACCCTTCCCTCCTCCCCTTCGTCCGCCGTCCTGGCTCTTCCAACCCCCCTGATGTGTTTGTGTGCCGAGTCGATGAAGAGGGGGAGGAGAGTCAGGAGGAGCAACGGTTTTGCCTCGTTGCTCCACCTCGTCACGCCTGTGTCTCCTGCCCTTGTGTCTCGCAGGAACAAGCGCAGGAGAGTGGAGGAGGAGCGGGACGCCCTGTCTGCGCGGCTGGCAAGGCTGGGGCCGGAGAGGGGAGGGGGGTCAGGGGGGGCTACGGTGGAGCAGCTGCAGGAGGAGCTGCGGCAATACAAGTCCATCATGAAGTGCTCCGTGTGCCACGACCGACAGAAGGAGGTGAGTGCTGCTGGGTTCTGTGATTGCATGATAGGTAGAGGTGTGCCATGACTGTCGGAGGAGCTGTGGCAATACAAGTCCATTATGAAGTGCTCCGTGTACCACGACCAACAGAAGGAGGTGAGACTGAGTGTGCCGTGATTGATAGTAAGTAGGGGCTGTGGGATGGAGAGGTGTGTGATGTGGCTCTGAGGAGCTGTGACCCCCTCACCATGCCTCCTCACCATGCCCCCTCGCCATGCCCCCTCTCCATGCCCCTTCCCCCCCCCAAAGGTGGTGATCACCAAGTGCGTCCACCGCTTCTGCCCGACCTGCAACCTTCTCTTCTGTGCACTCTCAGCCCTCACCTCTCTCTTGTTCCCCCCCTTCCCCTGCTTCCTCCCCCCCCCCCCAGGTGGTGATCACCAAGTGCTTCCACCTCTTCTGCTCGCCCTGCATTCAGAAGAACCTCGAGCTCCGCCATCGCAAGTGCCCCGGCTGCGGCGTGCCCTTCGGCCAAAACGACGTCAGAAACGTGTACATCTAGCCGCCAAGCCGCTCATGTAGCCGTCTAGATGCGCATCTAGATCCTCACCTCTCCGGATACATCCAGCTACACGCCTGGCCATGCATGTAGCCTCAACCCTCTCCAGATCTAGCCACGACTCCAGATTGCACGGGCTATCATAACCAATGCACAGCTGTTCCGATACGGTAGTTCTCTTGGTTTGGGAATGTCCGACTGTACACTCTTCCAACACCTACCACCAGTAGTGTCCGCCATTCTGCATGCGCTAACACGGGATGTGGGATGGCAGCAGTGCAGCATATTGTTTTGTGTGGACTGTACTCCTTCGATTCAGCTTCTGAGCGGCCTGATCTGGCATGTCAGCTTCGTGTGACTGTAACAGGTGGTGTGACTCAGGTTTTTATGGGCATCAGATAGTGTGGCTGGAGCTACAAGTGTTCCTCAGGGATCTTCCCGAGATGATTCTTCAGTGGCTTGTACTGCTGCAACATACACCCATCCACCCCTTCACCCGGACAGTCTCCTCTGAAGTTTGCAGGGAAGACATGGTGGGATTGTTATTGTAGCATGCGTTCGACGGTATCTTTCCAGAAGGAAAACGTTTGTGAGAGGTCCTGGAAAGAAACTGGAATGTACGAGAGACTAGAGTGCATTCCGTTGTCACCGTCTACCCTGCAGAACCATCATCACGCCTTCCAACTGACAACCTTGTCTGATAGCTGCTCTTCCTCCGCTCCCTCCTCACCATCCGAATCCTCCTATCATCATCGCCCCCCCCAGCTGCATTGTACATCGGAGCAGAGTAGTTTTTCCTCTCGGGCTTGTCCTACTTTGAGACCAGGAGCCGAATCAGGCACTGGTCTTGCAGAAATCATGCTTTCCTGCTTGCAACCTCTGCTGGTGCATTCTCTTCCTTCCCTTCCTCCTCTTCCTCTTCCTCTTCATCCTCATCCTCATCCTCCCACTCCTCGTCCTCCTCTTCCTCGTCTTCGTCCTCGTCATCAGACCCATCATCACCGCCCTCAACCGCATTGTACATCACAGGAGCAGGGTAGTTCTTCCTCTCTGCCTTGTCCTGTTTCGACACCAGGTGCCGAATCACCCTCTCGTCTTGCAGCAAAACCTTTTCAATCGCTGCGATCTTATCTGAGGGGACCTCGATGTTCATGAGGATGTACTGCGCATGCCACGTCTTCTGGATTCGATACGCCAGCCGCCTCAAACCCCAGTCGTTGACTCGCCACACCTGGCCTCTAGCATCCTTCACCATTTCTGGAAGAAAGGGAGGGGTTTGGGGGGGGGGGGGGGAGAGGGAGAGGAAGTTGTGGGGCATGGTGAGGGGGGCTTTGTGTTCATGAGGATGCAGTGCGCGTGCCATGTCGTCTGCATGCGATGAAAGCCGGATGCCTCAGACATTGACGCGCCACACCTGGCCTCTGGCATCCTTCACCGCTTCTGGAAGTGGAGGGGGAAGGGGGAGAAGCAGTGAAGGGAGAGAGGGACTGCTTTTGAGCCGACTCAAAAGCCCGACTCAAAAGCCCGACTCAAAAGCTGAGTCGACTCAAAAGACGAAGCAGTGAAGGGAGACGCGAGAGACCGATAGTGAGGCTCTTCTGAGAGACTGATAGCAGGGAAGCTGGCGTGAGTGGGATGGAGCATGGAAAATGGGAGAGACCGATAGTCACAAACGACAATCGCACTGATACCCAGAACCATAGTGGCACGCATAGTCACAGTCTTAGGGACACCCATAGTCACACCCACCCATAGTCACGCTCACACACACACACACACTCGGTGTAATCACCTCACCCATCTGTTATCTTCTCTATGATGGCAGGGGTCTCCTCTGTACTCCCGCACAGTCACGTGAACCGGCACAGCCAAACCAGTCACATTCGCAGCCTGCTCTGGGGAATCACCTGTGATCTTCTCTATGATGGCAGGGGTCTCCTCTGTGCGCCCCTCATGCACCAGAAATATGATCTCGTAGTGGCCTGCAGGGGCGTGGGGAGGAAAGGGGGAGGGGTGCAAAGCACAACAAGTAGGAGGGGCAGAATAAAGGGGGGCTGGAGTTTCCTCTGTGCGCCCCTCATGCACCAGAAATATGATCTCTTAGTGGCCTGCAGGGGGGTGTGTGGGTGGGGGGGGGGGGAGGGGGAGATAGATGGAGCATACAGACAGACAGGGATGCGGGGTGGGGTATGACCGCATGCTCCAGAGAAAGGATGGGAGATGGATGGGAGAAGCAAATGAGAGATGCGAGACGAAACGGTATTTGAAGAAGCAGAGACGCAAGTCGCCTTAGAATGCAATGCTCACGTGGCGGTATGTCGAACGTGCTCTGTAGCTCCAGGTCGAGAATAGTATCGAGCTGGTCTGTATGGGGTACAAAAATACACAGGCAAACACAGAAAGGGTGGTGGATGGTGAATAGAGAAGGATCAATGCTCATCCATCCATGCTCATCCATCCATGCTCATCCATCCAAGTTAAGATACTCAGCACACCTCATCAACAATAAGAGGAGAACCGATAGAGAGAACGCCTCACAAATCTAGCACCCATCCAAACTTTGACAAGCCTCAATAACCTCCAAACACCCATCCAACCTCCAGCCACCCGTCCAACCCCCAGCCACCCGTCCAACCTCCAGCCACCCATCCAACCTCCCTACAAACAACCCCGAACCGACTTTAGAGACCTCTCAAAAGTGGCCTCCCCGCTACAACCCTGAGCCCTCCTTCTAAACCCCGCTACAACCCTGAGCCCTCCTCCTAAACCCCGCTACAACCCTGAGCCCTCCTTCTAAACCCTCCCCCCCGTGAGTCAAGGGGTTGCGCGAGAAGCCCTGGATCCCATTTCCACCGCTCTTTCATCCTCGATCCGTGGATGCGGCCGTCACTCGCGTCTCCCACAACCCCCTTTGAATGGTACAGCCATCATACCCCGTTTGCCTGTTTGCCTGTTTGTCTGTTTGCCTGTTTGTCTGTTTGCCTGTTTGTCTGTTTACTCTACGTTCCGGCTATTCCGGAGTGGACGCAAATCTCTGCTTTCTGGACACAATCCAGAAATATCACTGCTTTCTAAGATCACTGCCGTTGATAGTTAATTAATTATGGCATTCTTGGCTCACCAGTCTGCTCCGGCGTTTGTTCGTACGTCTGCTGCCGCGCTTTTAGAGATGCCTTCTTCATCGAGAATGCCGGCGCCGGCGCAGCATCTGACCTGTCGCCACCTCCGCCATTCGCGGCGTCATCCGCGGCAGCCCTTGCAGGCACCCAGCGGCAAAATCGCCCTGGCGACCGCGTCGTAAGCGTCGCAGGCGTCGCAGGACAAGCGCTCAGCGATAACCGGGCAGTGCGGGGACGCAGAGCTCCTAGGCTGCAGGAGCAGCTGGCATGATGCGTTATTGGATGATGCGTTGTATTGGAGACGCTAGAAGCGAGAATGGCGTGCTCCAAGGCACGAGCGGAAGTCATGGTCCCAACGCAGGCGAGAAAGGGTCGCGAAAAGACAATGGTCGCGCGGTCGGTGGAAGATCACGCGAGGAGCGAGGAGATAGGTGCAACAGCGACGATTCACGCGATAAGCAATCTACGTCCAGTTAGTTGCCTCGTGCTAATCTTGCTGTGAAGTAGAATGCCGCGTAAAGCGGACGACGGGGGTACAGGGTTGAAGGGTTCGAGGGTGAAGGTTCTTGCATCCTTCCGTACCTGGTAAAACGCAATCCGTTTCTGGAGAAGTAGGTTTGCCTATAAATATCCAATCACGCGTCTTCCGCTTTGATTATACCACTAATTGCTTGAAACAGATGAATTAAGTCGTTCTTAATCTAGAACGTATTGTCTTGTAATAATTTGTTTATTGGCCCTGATTCTGGGTTTATAATCTTCAATCATTTAAATAAGGGGGGGATATGTGTCGAACAGGGAGAGTGTCTACTAAGTTTTGCATTCTCGTCAAACCAAAAAGTTTTTCCGCAATATATAGTATTACACAAACTGTACCAGATTCGCCAACAACGAAGCGCCGTCCTTCTGCTCACAGAGGCGAACCGCCTCTGTTTGCCGCGCAAATACCCTTCTGGCCACCATGCCTCCTAACTAGCAGAAGCTCCCTCCCAAACCAGCGCCTCGTACAGCCGCGGGTCAGGAAAGCGCTCTCAGGCCGAGTGCGTCTGGGAGCGCTTTCCTGACCCTTGCGCAGCCGCCGCTGTGCCTCATCTTATTCTTTCGAGGCGATGCAAGGCTCTTGCGATTCCTACACAAAGCCACTTCATCAGCCACCCTGCAGCATATTCCTGTCTTGCGGTTCTCGTAGCCTTTTCCACCGACGTTACTAGATCTCTTACGTTACTCACACCACTTTCTGTGAGCTTTGTATCGCATACTCGGTGTACTCGAGTCGGGATCAACCATCGTCTTGTCGTTGGAACGTTTTTTCCTAAAATCCATTCAGATTCACCAGATCTGCTCATGGCTTGGTTAGGTCTGGAGTAAGCATTAGTCGCTAATTCTGTGTCACGCCAGCGCCCTGGATCTTGGAAAGGACAGAACAACGCCAGTGCATCCACATGAGACTGCGGATAAGTGAGTGTCAGCGGAATGTACTCGTCGATTCGCCTTCCGTTACGATTCACCATCCACCTGATAAACCGTTTTAACCTAGCAGCATTCTAGTATCAAGACCTAGACTCACGGTGCGTCATTCCGTGCGTCGCAGGTCGCCTATGGAAGCAAATCCAGCGCAAGCTGGGTCGCTGGAGGAAGCACGCCAAGGGCCTGGCGAGCAGCTGCCGGGCTCCCAAGGTCACCGACGGCTTCTCCGACTTCGTCGTCAACGGCGTCGCTAACCTCCCGCCGTCTAAGGCTCGCAGTGCCGACAGCCTAGGCCGGCACCTCTCCAGGTCAGAAAAGGAGCAGACGTTTATTTATTCGTTCTGTAATGTCTTCCGTCAGATGCGGCTCACTGGTTTGCTCGTTTTTTTTTTTTTTTTTTTTTTTTTTTTTTTTTTTACCGTCAAACGTCAATGTTGATCTGTAGTAGGTTTTCTCACGCAGATCCGGTACGGCTGACGATCTGACGCTCCGCGCGATGGCATCTCGGCCAGAGAAGGACGCGAAGCTCCACATAGAGGGCGACGGCGAGAGTGAAATGGACGAGGAGTGGATGCTGGAGATGCTTCGCGCCGGCGAGCAACAGACGAATCAGGTACTTCGCTGGCCTGCCTCGTCATATTTCCTCGTTTTTGCTTCCTTAAGCCTCCCTCTGTGCGTCTTATGCGGATGCGCCGAGTAATGTCGCCTGTGCTCGTTACACGCGTTTGATGGCATTCCGACATCGAGGGGATTCTGAAGCTGTCGTCCTCCTATTTTCAGATGCGCTGGAGGGACGGCGGGACGATCCAACGCTATGGAAGCGCAGTTGACATGCGCCAGCTGCTAGCAGGTGACAGTAGCGAGAGCTACACTGCGAAACAGCGAATGGGAACAGTGGTGCCCCTCGGAACCCTCAACGGAACCCCCTGGGAGAGAGACACCCGATGTGGAACGCTAAACGGAACCCCTGCTCGGCAACACCAAGGGTCAGCCGCAACCCTCGCGTCTAAACAACGATGCGGAACCACAGATGGAGGACCTGGTATGGGAGGAAATGGTACTGGGAGGCTTGGGTATCATCGGTCCTGTCGGTCTGGCTCAGTGCCAGCAGCCATGGATGTCATGAGCGTTCCCCTGAGGCCACCTCCAGGCAGAAGAAGACCCACTGCTCCCAAGTGATTACTTACCAACTCAGTAGGGCTGTGTCGAACTTTGGAGCTACGGTTGCTGTAGTGCATACATTTGTAAAGTCTAAAAAGGATTCTCTTTGATTGATTAAAGTTTAGGCCTTCAGTGCATACATTTGTATATCATTTCTAGAAGTCGGTTTCAAGCTGTTTCGAAGAACTGCAATGGAGGGTGCTTTGTGCTTTGAGGCCGAGTCGACTACTGCGGCTATCGAGTACAGGTGCACCACTTCAATGAATGCTCCGCTGCAGTGCTCCAGCCAGCGTCACTTGTCTTTTGGGCCTCGAGGCGGGGGAGGGAAGGGATTGGATTGGGCATTGGGCCATCGAGGCGCACGCACGGGAACCATGGGCCATGTTCTGTATTTCGTGCTTCGCCAGCGTGGCAAGGAGGGCTTCCCAGTAGATTCTTCTCTGTTGTGACGGAGATGCCTGTCCCACTTCTGCCATGCTGTCCGGCTCTAGCCAATCGATTGACATTTTCAGTTGCATTTTGCACAACTGCAGCCAAAGTGGACGAGAGCAGTAACAATGACGCGGCGCCTTTCGACAGTGTGTGTGTGTAATTCACCACCGCAACTGGACACCAAAGCAGGCCTCAGGAAGTCAGGGCGTTTTTCTCTGTTTTTAGAGTGAACTTTATAGGTCACACTGTAAGAGAAGGGTCGGGGTTGTTAACACCCTGTGTTTTCCAGAGTCTGCTAGCAAATTTTCGGCTCATCTAGCCGAAAACATACCACTGTTGGAGCAGCGGCTAAAAATCGTTGCAGTTGGAGTTCCGACAGAGTCAAGCATGGGGAGCTCGAACTCTCAACACTTTGCCCATTCACAGTTATCAACTTGGATTTTTATTCTACCCTGCAATTCTCGAAAATAAAAGGACCCTCACTCTGCCGTGGCAGGGCAAAGCTCCCCCACCGCTCGTATCTGGCTGGGTGCCCCAAAACACATGGAGCGCAGGGCTTACGTTAGGTTTCGAGCAGCTCTGGCGTCAGGTCTCCCCTCGAATTTCACCCTGAAAGCCCAGGGTCCGAATATGCACTGCCCTGATTTTTCAGGGCCGGCCGAAGAAATGCTCGGAGGGCGCAGATTTCCAAGGATTATTTTTTAGGTTGTTCCACACTCTGCGGCTCATCGAAGTCACATGTGTTCTAGGGCTGTGTGGGAATTCTCCTTCCCAACTAGTAGCCTGGTAGCGGGGTCCAAGGAAGAGTGACGGGTGTTAGGAGAGTGGCAGAAACATGCATTCTAACGGGGGGCATCGGGAAGGGGAGGGTGTGGGTAGTGGAAAAAATCAGGATTACCAAAAAATTCACTCGGAGTTTCCAGGGTCGCCTTGAGATACTCGCGGATTCTGTCAGGGCTGGGTAAAAACAAACCCTAAGAAAATCAGAGCTGCTTTACGAACTACCTTCTGTCAACTCAGGGCAAATGCCCTGTTAACATCTGCCCCGATGGAGAGCCCTGCACCTAAAACACGTTCGGGAATGCCATGCCACCGTCCTGTGAGAGGAAATAGACCTTATGACGACAAGGCCTGACACTAGCGAAGGCTCCTTGCTAATACACTTGACCCGCGTTAATTTTACAAATTTAAATTGGGCGGCTCTAGAAGTTTTGTTTCCACCCTGACCATTTTTGTAGGCAGTAATCCCTTGTTTTTACTGCCTAAGCGCAGCAGACTCCACGCGGACAAATACTTTGAGCACTGCCAAAGCTGACGTCGGGTTTCCTGACTCGATAAACACTATATCGAGCAGTAAATGTTTCGTATAGAATTCCAAACTAAATTTGTTTTTTAAGGGTATCCGAATCTGGTCTTCAGGAGCTGCTTTCGGGGGGTGAATACCCTCTCAGCTGCACCCCCTGTGAAAATACTGAGTTTTAAAATAACGCAGGCTAGGTGCATCAAATCTCGACCCACCGACACACGGCAGCTGGTGTGGTCACCCCCCAAAACCCTTGTACCCTGTCTAACCAATGTAGAACGTTCTGCACCGCACTTCATCGCATGAGCTGCTTCTCCTTGTCCATTCAAGTAGTTTTTCTTCTTGTCCATTCCATAGTGCCTGCCAGCTGAATAGGTCTGTATGTGTCATCATCACGAACACCCAGCTTGGAGGGAGTCGCATCATGACGATGACTTTTCCCATGGGCGTGGTGTGTCGATGGCGTGTAGGGAGGTTCATCTCGATGACGCCCCTCCCCTTGCCTCTCAGAAAGACAGGCTGTCTCGGCGGAAAGCACCCTTCTCATAGGCTTGCGTTGGCGAGAAAATGGGCCGATTATCCGCCCCGCCAATCCCCGTTAGTTGAACGCCGACGAATTGGAGGCCTCCTAAGTCGTCGAAGCCGCATCTCATAATTTCTCAAGCCTCGACTTCCAGCACATCACAGGCGTTCGCTGAAATGCGGTTTAGTAAAGTGGATTACTTTTCATAAGGATCAAAGAAACGTTTCAAACGGTTCGGCACGGTATTGGCCGAAAACGTACGTATCGCCCTTAGACTTGACTGTTCATCATCACGAGGACATTAACACTCGAAGACGTTGGCCGTATGTGTCCTTTCTACCTCCGACAACTGGCTCCAGAACAGGTTGCATACACGGCGCGAACCGTGACTGCATGCGGCTACAGGGCAGCCATAGCCTTCAGACCGCGGCTGCCACAAACAGCTCTCAAACGCCTCCCTCACAGCGATGGTCTGCTTTGGCCGTTCTGGCGTCAGGCTTAGTCCAGCGCCGAGCTTTCAATCCCAGCGTTCAACGCGGAAGGTCAAAGTTTGCTTCTCAGCTTGAAGCTCGCCCTAGACTTTCCCGTTGTGTGGCTTGGTTTCACCCTCCTCACCAGGGCACATGTTATCAGGGCATTTGTCCTGACTTGACTGAAATTATAAGGTATTTTTTAGAGCAGCCCTGATTTTCACCAGGTCTTTTTTACCCAGCCCTGACATAATTCGGGAGTACCTCAAGGCGACCCTGGAAATGCCAAGTGATTTTTTTGGAGATCCTGATTTTTCCCACTACCCACACCCTTCCCTTCCCGATGCCCTCCACTAGAATACAAGTTTCTCCCACTCTCCTAAAACCCGTCACTCTTCTAGGACCCGGCTAACAGGCTACTTGTTGGGAAGGAGAATTCCAACACAGCCCTAGAACACATGTGACTTCGATGAGCCGCGGAGTGTGGAACAACCAAAAAGAGAATCTTTGGAAATGTGCGCCCTCCGCGCATTTCTTCGGCCAGCCCTGAAAAATCAGGGCAGTGCATATTCGTACCCTGGGATTTCAGGGTGAAATTCGAGGGGAGCCCTGACGCCAGAGCTGCTCAAAACCTAGAAAAAGCCCTGCTCCTCACTCCACTGGTTCTCTCCAGCCTCGTCAACACGTAAGAGGCGGCTGTCAGTTGACCTCCTAGGCATTGAGAGTCACCACTGCGTTCATCTGATTTTAACTGATAGCAGAAAAAGCCTGATCATCGACGGTTTCGCGATTGCCTCGCGTCCAGACTTCCAATTGTAGATAATTTTACTACTGAAGGTTGTACCTCGAAGGTCCTGCTTTTAGAAAAGTACTTAACACTTTCCAGCTCATGGCATCCTTGCTCCTACGCTTCCCCAGAGAACTTTCAGAAGCCCCCCCTGTTGTTGCCTCCCCGTGGAGCGCAGCCGATTCCCCCCAACTGCTTTCAATGGAACAAGCCGCGGCGCCGACTCTCCGCAAATCGCGGCGACGCAACACGGTAGCGTCGGTGCCGCAGTTCGAGGTGCTCCCCTGCGAGACGGACGTGGCGCTTCGCGGCGGTGTATCGGAGCCGGCGGAGCCCAAGTCCAACGGCGACGCACCCTCGGAAGGTGCGGCGGCGGCGCCTAGTTCGCGATTCTCGCACATCGAACTTCGCCTGGAAATGTGGAACCTCGCTACTGGGAGCTCCGCTACGAGTAGTAGCAGGCACCAGCCGCTCGGCGCGCGTCCGACGCGCTCGCGAAGCTCGCCAATCATCGCGCCGCCTGAGGCTCTCTCTTCACCCGCGGAGGCTGCCATCAAGAAGACGACGATACCCGCGGAAGAGGTTTTCGAAAACGCACTGGAAGTTGCTCCTGAACCGTCCAACCATGGACGCGATGCTCACCCTGATGCTCCTCGTGTAACTGTCGAAATCGCTGAACGCTCGCATCTCATATCGGGGTCCAAGTCGCCGGCTCCTTCTCCAAGCGGCGCTCCCCAGCGGGGGGCACAGGGGACGCGGGGGAGCGTTTCTGAGAGCGGGGTAGAGACAAGGGGGAGAGGCCTGTCGCGGTGGCAGAGCGTTCCTGCGCTAACCTTGACCAACGCTGCTCGCTCAAGCGGTGCTGTCAGCGAGTCTCCCATGATGCGACATGGGGCGTCACCGCGCTGGCCGATTTCGGAGGCATCCCAGCCCGCGACCGCGAGCGAGTCAGTCTCCCCGGCTGTCTCGTCGCACGGACGGCGCTTTCTGCGGCATGCTGATCTTGACAGGCAAACTAATGGTAATAGGCAAGGAGTCGCGGGCCCGGCTTGTGTCGCGACGCCGCCAGCCCGCCCACCGTCTGCTGCGGATAGCGGCGTGAGGCTATCGAGAGCTGCGTCGTCTGAGCCTACAAGTAATGTGTTCGTGTGGGCAGCTCAGCAGCGCATTGCACGGCACAGATCCGCGCTGCAGTGACATGAGTTCCTGCGACGGGGTTGGGTTTCTGGAAAAGAGAACCGCGGAGCTCGTGGTTGTAGTTCGTCTTTATCTTTCACTGTATATTCCCTGATATGCTAACTGGTTTAATAACCCATTTATCCGTCTTTACCTTTCGCTGTAGTTATGTGTGCTTTCCGTCTCGTGTGAACAAACTCATGAGAAAAAATACCTCACACTGAATGAGCCCGTAAATTTTGCTCCACGCTTAATACATTACGAAATTTCGTGCTTTAGTGCAGGTGAGCCTCCTTGCCAAGTACATATACACTGATACGGTACCTCGTTTTGGGTGGTATGAGCCTGTCAATTCCGAATGTGGTTCAGTTGGTGCCAACTTCCAAGGAATTGCCCAGAATCTAGCCGACGTGGTTTTATCTCCTCTTCCTCGGGCACGTGGAGTCCTTCGCAGCTGACATGGCAGGCTCGTACTCGCTGCATTCATACACAGGCTCCCACCGCGGCGACGTCGGCGTCTGCTGGATGGACTGCGGCGTGATGCCGCATACATTTCGCACAGCGCCTCGACGAATTCAACGATTGTCAGTCGCAGTGACAGCGGAATTGTGGGGGGTTGTATGCGACCAAATATCTTCTGTGCGACGCCGAAGCGATGCTGCCCAACAGAATCTAGGTCGCTACGGCATTCGTCTAATTCTGGTTCGAAGAGGCGGCCGTCAAAATTCCCCGTTTGCCAGCGACTTCGCTGGCCGTTTGCTTTTCAACATGCTGGATCATGGGGACCGTTCGCTGGAAATTTTCCGAGGGGAACTGGGAGGGGAACGGGCGACCATATCCCGCGCGCACGGAATCTGCGCAGCCAAACCTACGTAAAAAAAAATTGTGTGCCCCCGTACTTTGGTAATCATAACGTCGCCGGCTCATGATTACGTCGAACAAGACTGCAGGACTGGATGGTGAAGAGTGGGGCCCCATCAAAAGCCCTCTTAGCCCATCGCACTTTCGTGGAAAATCTAGGGGAGAAAATGCGATTCACACAATTTTGTCAAAACTGCCCATTTTTTTAACATTTCAAAATGTGACCGATTGGATGGGTATGAGCTGGCGCAATTGCGCAAATCGACGGGTAGGATTGAAGGGGAAGTGGCTGCAGTTTTTTTTTTGGGGTTCGTAAACCTGCCCAGTCAAGAGGCATGCCAATCTTGGCCTGCCTCATACCACGATTTTGCAGTATGAGGTGTGGCACGGAGTTTGCCTGGCAGCTCTGGGCGGCTGATGGCCGCGCTTCGGGTTTGGCATGAGAAGGAGCACGCGATTTGGGGGCAATTGGTTTGGGGAGACCGAACCGACGAGACGTTTTCGCATGCTGACGTCACGTTTCGCAAATTTGGTTCGGCGAACCCACGAAGCCTCGATCGATGTTCCCCATGTCTGATTCCCCTCGCCGTGCCGGTGAAAAATTGGCCAGCGAACGGCCCCATGGCGATAAGAGCGAGTCCAAACTGCCCAGCGACATCCGTCGACATCCATCGAAATACCGGATGTCGAAGCACCGATTTAGAAACCTTCTGAAACCTTCTAGAAACTTAATCGTACTAAAACTGCCTTGGAAGTCGGCGGATGTCGACGATGTTTGTCGACATCCCACTTTGGACACCCCTCAGGTGACAGTGAGCTAGGAGACAATATCTACGATTTTACCGAGGACGGTTCATCGTCGCACGAAGTAGTCTAGGAGGCGAAAGTGGAACATTCGTCAAATGAGAGATGGTGCAGCCTTTTCCGACGTAGACGTATTGCGAGCGGAAAGCGTGGAACAGAGCAGATACAGCGGGTTGGAAGGACCTTGTAGCATAGACGCTCGCACGGAGAACGAGAGGAAGGTCTTTTTTACGGAGTACTGAGGCTGATTCGAATAGACTCTGCTCGTTCAGTCGTTGAAACGCTCTCTACAGGGATGCGGCTTTTCAGAGGCTAAACAACCGTCTGAGCTGACGAATCAGGGGCCTTGCAACGAGAGAAGTGCGGATAGCCACGGATTTCGGCGCGTAGTCCTGCAGTTGGTGGCCGATTCAACAACCAAGGGCACAGCCGAAAGTTGCGACATGGTGTTTTGAAAACACCACCGTGCCACCTCTTCCGTGTCTCTCTGGAACGGCGTCATGAGGGGGTGGCGTAATGCTTGAGGCTCATAAGCGTTTGTCATATGAACGAAGGCGCTGGTCACAGGCGCGTGAGCCAGGCGTAACGTCATGAACCCCGCCGCTTCTGAGTTCCTTCATCGGACCAGAGACGGAGGTGCCGTCCCCATGATCGACGGCCGACAAGGGCTGATGGACGATCATCGTGGAATAATCAACGGCCAAGAGCCAATGATCCGTCGCGACTGGCAAGCAGGCGGTGCAGCAGCTGCAGCGGGTGCAGCAGGAGGAGTAGTGGGTGTGGTAAGAGGAGCGCTAAGTGCGGGAGGAGCATTAAGCGCGGGTCGATTGGCGGGGGAAGGTGTCTTGTGGAGCAGGTCGTATGTGCGATGGCTGGCCTCGTTAGGGTCAGGAATGAGGCGGTTCATAGGCGGGTGTATCTCCGCTGCAGCCATACCTGGCACGCGGTGTATACCCGATATAGGGAGGATGAGGAAGTGCATGTCGGACCCGTTGAAGGTGACCAACTGGGTGATGGCGGGAATCGATGGGCTCGTCTGGATCGTCGCTCTGGTTCAGGTGAGGAGGTTGACCTATCCGTGAGAGGCAAGCGGTGAATGAAATGTCAGTGACTAGGTGGGAAGGAAGTGGACCAGTCCAGGTGGCCAACTGGGTGATGGCAGATATCGATGGCCTCGTCTGGATCGTCGCCCTTGTTCAGGTGAGGGTTACAAGCTAATCAGTCAAAGCTGGCTTGTTCAGGTGCGGAGTACAAGCTGTGCAGCCAAACGTGAATGGTTCGGGTGAAATGTGAACCAATTCACTGATGCATTGCTCAGGTGAGTCCTTGATATGTCTATCCAGGATGCACTTTTCAGTGAGAAAATTAATCAGTTTAGGAAAAGAACACGGATGCCAGTCAGTGTTGTCCTCATCAGGGGATGGATGTCAGCCAATGTTGTCGTGATCAAGTAAGCAACACGGATGGAGGTCAGTCAATTTTCTCCTTGTTCAGAATTCCGTCAAGTCCGTCAGTGCTGTCTGTTCCGGATAGTGAAGGAACCTGGAGAAGGTGTTGCAGGAGAGGCAGGGTTCACAAGGAGCAGATGAGGACATGGGATGGACCGTGAGTCCGTGACTCACCCATTGGTTCTCGAGTGACTTCTGAGTCGACTCAAACGACATTGAGGCGACATTTGAGTTGCAACCTGGTGCTTTGCTCTGCGCCTTCCTCCTCTTTCCCCGGTGACTCCTGCAGCTCATACGGATCTGTCGGCACGTGCGGAACGGCAAGTGGACACGGCAAAAGGTAGCGACTGGTGAAGGTGTCCACCGGTGAAGGTATCGACTGGTGAAGGGAGTGAATGGTGAAGGGACAGACTGGTAGGATTCTCAAGCTGGCCGTTGCTTGTAGGGCAATTTCATATGCCATTGGTGTGCATGGTATAATTCTTTTGCTTTGAAAAAGGTTGATGGCAGAGTATGAACTAAAGGAAATAAGTAAATGACATCATCTTTGATTTTTTGCGCCCCTTTTTCATGCCTTTTTCATGCCTTTTTCATGCCTTTTTCATGCCTTTCTTCCCACTTTCCATCCCTCCCACAGGTCTTCCACACCATGGTCTTTGCTGCTAACCTAGGTGAGCTTTCCGCCCTCACCAGCATTCCTCCCTCACCAGCTTTCCTCCCCAAGCCTGCAACACTCGATCATCTCTGTGCGCACTGCCCCTCATAATTCGTCGTCATCATTATGCACCCCTGCTCACGCCAGCACGCCAGCAGCTACCAGCACGCCAGCAGCTACCAGCACGCCAGCAGCTACCAGCACCTTCTTGATGGCCTTACCTTGTGCCTATCGCCTCCTTTCCCGCCACTCCAGCAGCTTCCATTTCCACCCTGCGCCCCCTCATCCCTTCCCCCCCCCCCCCCCTCCCCTTCCCAGGCTACAGTGCCTATTTCCTCGTCAACCCCTTCGCCTCCTGCTCGGACTGGCTCTGCTGGTCGCATGCCTGCGGATTCATTGCGCTCGGTGCGTGCCCTAGTTGTGGGGCTACTGTCATGCACGCACCTGATCTTATGCGTCCACTGTTTCTGTCTCTCATAATGTCACCTTTTCTAGCGCATCATAATACATCTCTGTGTGTACCCTTGTCTTATGTGACGTTAAACAGTCAGTCTGTGAAACGCGGCTCAAGTAAAAACAGAGCAGTCACTGGTTAACTCACCAGCACAGGTTTAGCTCGTTTGCGATTCTTTCATTTTGTTCCCTTTTCCTGCGAGAAAACATCTTGTCTGTGCTACCATTTCGCCTGCTCGTTTTTGCAGCCATTCCACAAATCATTTTCCTTGCGACGTTCCTGCTCCTCCTATCGTTCTGGTACGCCCATACCACGTCATATGCTTGCATCATTATTTTGAGTCGACTCAAAATACGTCATACGTATGCATCATTACATCACATCATATGTAGATTCCTTGTGCCTCTCACAGACTCCCACTGCTCCTGCCCCACTTGTAATCTTCCCCCTCCCTCCCTTCCCACCCGCCCCCCTCCATCCCTACTCCTCCCCTTGCTCCCTACCCTCCTTTCCCCTTCGCCCTGCTCTCCCCCCCTTGCATGCCCACACAAATGCACACATGCTCAATCAAAGGCGTGTGTGTGCGCCCACACATACACTTGTTCCAAGACTTAACCTCTTGAAAGTGATGGGTCGGTGTACCTTTACCTGCTGCCGTTGATCTGCAGCCTTTCCGCTTCCCAGTGCTGCCTGTGCTTGCAATCCCTTGGTTCCTCGCTCGCCTCCCTTCCCGCTTTCGCCCAGCGTGCAGCATCCATTTGTGCTATCACCACCCCCCCCACCAGCTTCCCCCCATGCAGGGTCGGCCTGTGCCATGCCATCACCCCCCCCTCCCGATTCCCCCCGACTGAGGATCCACCTGTGCCACCAAGAATGAGCTTGGAGCGGACTCTCGAGTCTCGAGTCTCCTCTTCCCTTCCTGCATCCACCCTGCAGAAAGGACCTGTGCGACCAGGCGCCAGACAGCACAGCACAGATGAGTTCGAGGGCGAGGAGGAGGGAGGAGGACGAGGAGGGACGAGGACGAGGAGGAGGGAGGAGGACTGGAAGGGAGCAACAGGAGCTGGCAAAATTGCTGCTATATGTATCCCTATCCTCAAACCCCCCTCCCCTCCCCCCCCCTCCCACGCGATTCCCAGCCAACCCTCCAGGATCGACCTGTGCCATCAGGCGTCGGACAGCACTGACGAAGACGAGGAGGAGGAGGTGGAAGACCTACAGGCAGCAGCAGGGTTGCTGGAAACGTGTGGCAATGCCTGTTTCCGCTACCCCGCCCCCCGTCTCCCCTGCCAACCCTCCAGGATCGACCTGTGCCATCAGGCGTCGGACAGCACTGACGAGGAGGAGGACCTGGACTGGAAGCAGCAGCGGGGGCCGGCAGGAGTGCTATAGATGCGGCAATGCCTGTCCCCCGCCCCCCGTCTCCCCTGCCAACCCTCCAGGATCGACCTGTGCCATCAAGCGTCGGACAGCACTGAGGAGGAGGAGGAGGAGGAGGAAGACGAGGAGGACCTGGAAGCAGCAGCAAGGGGAGGCAGAATTGATGCCTACGGTGTCAGCGGCATGGGCATGGGCATGGGCATGGGCATGGGCATGGGCAGGAATGGCCTTCTCAGGCATAAATCCGACCCCATACCGCCCGTGCTGCAGCCAGCGCAGCAGAAAAGCTCATCCCGTCAGTATCAGCAGCAGCAGAGTGTTGCTAGCAGTGCCCCACCGCATGCAGCGAGCGGTCTCGCTGGAACCACAACCAGAACTGCCGCTGCAACCACTGCCAGCAGCAGCAACGCCACTTCCTCCCTGACCTCCCCGATCGCATCGTCCCGCTCCCTCTCCCCGGATCAATCAGAATCCAGCAGCAGCATGAGCACCTCCCCCTCATCCCACTCGCGTGCCGAGATGACCAAGCATCCACAAACGCAGGGGCAGGGGATGGGATCAGGGAAGGGAGGCGAGGGCCCTGGTGGGGCAGCGAGGGGCAGTGGGGGGGGGGGCAGAGGGGCAGGTGGGAGTGTGAGCAAGGGCGGGTGGGGCAGCGTTGGGCCGTCGACCCTGCAGCAGCCGCTGTTGGATGCTGCTGCTGGAGTGATGGGCGGGGCTGGCAGACAGGGGGGAGGAGGGAGAGGAGGGGGTGGAGGCGGGGGAGGTGGGGGAGGAAGAGGAGGAGGAAGAGGAGGAGGAAGAGGAGGGATTGGGAGCAGTGCGGCGAGTGATGGGGCGAGGACCCCTCGGTTCCGGTGGCAGAAGCTGAGAGTGAAGGGCAGGCAGCGCATCGTGCTGGCGGTGAGTGATAGAGGCGGTGGGGTGGTGGGGGGGGTGTGGGAGGGATGAGGCAAGTGAGGGGGAGAGGAGAGGACCCCTCGCTTCCGGTGGCAGATGCGCAAAGTGAAGGGCCGGCCGCGCATCGTGCTTGCAGTAAGGCCCAGTTGCTATTGCGTGTGGGTTGTAGGGGCCTGGTGTGACTGATGGGGCGAGGGCGAGTGATGGGGCGAGGGCACGTGATGGGGCGAGGGCGAGTGATAGGGCGAGGGCACGTGATAGGGCGAGGGCACGTGATAGGGCGAAGGCGAGTGATTGGGCGAGGGCACGTGATGGGGTGAGGGCAAGTGATATATTGAGTGAGGGCGAGTGATGGGGCGAGGACCCCTCGGTTCCGATGGCAGAAGCTGAGAGTGAGGGGCCAGCAGTGAATCGTGCTCGCGGTAAGTGATGGGGGCGGCAGGGCGATTGGGCAGGGGGCCTGGGTTGTGTGATGTGGTGAGGGCAAGGGAGGGCGAGAGGGCCCCTCAGGTTCGGTGGCAGAAGGTGAGAGAGAGAAGGGTTGGCACGGTAAGTGATGGGGGCGGTAGCGCGATCAGGCGGTGGGCTGGCATGGCAAGTGGCAGGGTGAGGGCGAGTGGAGGCGCACCGGCCCGTTGATTTTGGTGGCAGAAGCTGAAGGTGCAGGCAGGCAGCGCATCGTGCTCACAGCAATCCCAAACTCACCGCGGCGATCCCAAACTCAGCGCGGCGATCCCAAACTCAGCGCAGCGATCCCAAACTCACCGCGGCGATCCCAAACTCACCGCGGCGATCCCAAACTCACCGCGGCGATCCCAAACTCACCACGGCGATCCCAAACTCAGCGTTCGCCTTTGTATTTGAGGTCGCTGTCTCGCTGGAAGACCGAGCCGATTGCTGGCCACCTCATGCGCCACGTCGTGCCCGTGTTGTGTTGTCATCCCGTTTCATGCCATCCCATGCCCGTTCCATCCCATGCCGGCCCATCCTGTCCTATGCCGGCCCATCCTGTCCTATGCCGGCCCATGCAATCCAATTCCGTCCCATGCCATCCTATGACATGCATGGCATGGGATCACATGCTACCTCGTTCCGTCTACTCCTGCCGTGCACCAGGCGGTCATCGTCATCTCTCGCTCACCCCTGCCCTCACCCCTGCCCTCACCCCTGCCCTCACCCCTGCCCTCACCCTCCTCACCCTCCCATGCCCTGTCATGCGATGCCATGCCCTGTCATGCGATGCCATGGCATCCCATTCCATCCCGTCGCCTCCCGTGGTGCACCAGGTGGTCTCCTTCAAATCTCTGCTCACTGCAGTCACTGCCTTTCCATGCCGTCCCATGCCATCCCATGCCGTCCCATGCTGTCCCATGCCGTCCCATGCCATCCCATACCGTCCCACCACCCCATATCGTCCCATCCCATTCCATCCTATCTCATCCCATCCCATCCCACACCCACCCACACCTGCACCCACGGCCAGGTGGTCTCCTTCATCTCGCTCCTCACGGCAGTCTTTGCATTCCTCATTTGGTACGGCTTCGGAGACAACCCCATTGACCCCGCCCTCATGGCTCAGGTGAGCACGTGATTCGCATCTTGATCCGAGGTGAGAAATGCTCTGAAGTTTGCATACCCTAGTGCTACCCCGTGCCACCCCGTGCCACCTCATGCCACCCCATGCCACCCCGCGCCAACCCATGCCACCCCGTGCCACCCCATGCCACCCCATGCCACCCTGTGCCTTCTTCAATTGGGACGGACGGACTCGTCAACGGGTCATTGCTCGTCTCCAAGCTGTCCTTGCTGCGACCCTGAACAACCTCTCCCCTCCCTCCTTAACCCCCCCCCCACTCCCCACCCCCCCCGCCAACAGATGCATGCTGACTGTTTCGCTGTGGCTACTCTGCTTTCCGGTCGCGGGTTGGCCTCTACGGGGTGCTGCTCCGCTCCGATATGCCTGTGCTGCGAGGCTTGACATGTCCCCACAACCCGCAACCCCCCGCAATCCCCAACCCCCGACCCCCTTCCCCCTCCCTCACTCACACCACCACCAGATGCATGCCGTCTTCTTTGCTGTCGCCACGCTGCTATCCGGTGGCGTGCTGGCTTTCTACGGGCTGCTGCTCTTCTCCAAGATGTCCTTCCGCATCCCATCCCTTACTTGCACAAACGTACTTCTGCCCTTCCCCTCAACCCCCGCCTCGCCAAACAGATGCATGCTGACTTCTTCGCTGTGGCTACACTGCTATCAGGTGGCGGACTTGCGTTCTACGGGCTGCTGCTCTTCTCCAAGATGTCCGTGCTAAGGGCAGGGCCCAGCGCTGCTGACCTCAGCAAGGTGAGTGGTGACGTCAGCAGTGTCTGTGCTGACCTCAGCAATGTTTATGATTTCACCTGTTGACTGCACTTGTTGTTTCCACATCCCTCTGTTTCTGCCTCCTGCTTTTCTTCCTTCTGTGTTCCCTGCCTGCACAGCTCTCCCCCCCTTGTTGTTCATCTTTCGGAACTTCTCCACCCGCCATCCCCCCCCATCCCCCCCCATCCCCCCCCATCCCCCCCATCCCCCCCATCCCCCCCATCCCCCCCATCCCCCCCGTCCCCCCCGTCCCCCCCCTCTTCCCCCTCCCCCCTCTCTTCCCCCTCTCCCCCCTCTCCCCCCTCTCCCACGTCAGATCGCCTGGCTGGCCGGGATGTGCCTGCTCTGCTTCTCCCTTCGAGCCTTCATTGTCCTCGCCAAGTACATTCCTGTAAGTTCTCTTTGGCCCAACGCACTTGCTGGCAAGGAAGGGTTTAGGGGGTGCTGTAAGCAATGTGCATATGTGCATTTGTGTCTATGTTGGCAGCGGTGGAGTCCATAACGTCACCCCCCAACTCCCTTTGACTCGGTTTCTTTCCCTGCATCTACCGTTGCCAGCCCATCCTGAATCTGTCCTTTCGAGACAAGCACGGCCGCCTGCTGCCCTTCTGGTTCCTCGTCTACCATTGCGTAGGTGCGTTGGGAGGGGCGCCAGGGGTGCCAGGGGTGCCAGGGGTGCCAGGGGTGCCAGTAGTGCCAGGGGTGCCAGTAGTGCCAGGGGTGCCAGGGGAGCCTGTGTGTTTGAGGGATTCCATCTTGTATCCTATCTGCTTTGGCGTCATTCCCCCTTCTACATCCTCCCCTCCCATGTTCCCCCCTCCAATGCCGATCCCTATCCACCCTCTCATCCCCTCCTCGCCCTCTCATCCCCTCCTCACCCTCTCATCCCCTCCTCACCCTCTCATCCCCTCCTCACCCTCTCATCCCCTCCTCACCCTCTCATCCCCTCCTCACCCTCTCATCCCCTCCTCACCCTCTCATCCCCTCCTCACCCTCTCATCCCCTCCTCACCCTCTCATCCCCTCCTCACCCTCTCATCCCCTCCTCACCCTCTCATCCCCTCCTCACCCTCTCATCCCCTCCTCACCCTCTCATCCCCTCCTCACCCTCTCATCCCCTCCTCACCCTCTCATCCCCTCCTCACCCTCTCATCCCCTCCTCACCCTCTCATCCCCTCCTCACCCTCTCATCCCCTCCTCACCCTCTCATCCCCTCCTCACCCTCTCATCCCCTCCTCACCCTCTCATCCCCTCCTCACCCTCTCATCCCCTCCTCACCCTCTCATCCCCTCCTCACCCTCTCATCCCCTCCTCACCCTCTCATCCCCTCCTCACCCTCTCATCCCCTCCTCACCCTCTCATCTCCTCCTCACCCTCTCATCAATGGTTCTCTTTATTCTCTAAGATCTCTCCTGTCGCCCTCTCTCCCCTATCCCCCTCCCATGTCCCCCTCCCATGTCCCCCTCCCATGTCCCCCTCCCATGTCCCCCTCCCATGTCCCCCTCCCATGTCCCTTTCCCATGTCCCCCTCCCCTGCCCCCCTCCCATGGCCCCCTCGCTCGATTCAAGTGCTGCCCTTGCTTGTGCCTGCCCCTCTCACTACCCCCCCGGCCTGTCCAAACGAAGCAGTCCCCTCAGCAATGCTCCTCTCATTCTCAAGGACCTCCCTGTCGCCATCTTTCCCCTGCCGCCCTCCCATGTTCTCCGCCTTTCTCATTCTGCTTCCTGACGCCTCTCTCCTTCCTCCTCCTCCCCTCGCCAGGCGAAACAGTCCCCTCAGCGATGGTTCTCTTCATCCTCAAAGACCTCCCTCCCAAATCCCGCCAACCCCCCCACGCCTCCCTCTCCTCCTCCGCCCCCTCCACCCCTTCCTCGCGTCACAGCACTAGACCCCCCTCCTCCCGCTCTCGCACCCCCAACCTCCCCACCTCCACCCCTTCCATCCACCCATCCTCCATCTTCATCCCTCCTGCCCCCGGCGGGCAATTCCTCTCGTCACCCATTGACCCAGCTGCAGCAGCAGCAGCTTTCCTTCTCCCTGGTGCAGCCGCCGCCGCCGCTGCTGCTGCTGCTGCTGCTGCTGGCGATGGCGGTGGCGGTAGTGGTGGTGGGGGTGCTGGTAGGGGGGTTGGCGTTGGTGGTGGGGATGGAGTAGCAGCAAGCACTAGACCTGGTACCCGTGCCAGCAGTGGCGGCGTTGCTCGACTCCCTCCTCGCCTCCTCCCTCCTCTCCTACCCCAGTGGGTTGTTCCCCCCGAAGGGGAGCCGTACTCTGTGCTCCCCCCTGCTGCTGCTGCCGCTGCCAATTCCTTTGCCGCTTTGGCTGCGGCTGCAGCCGTGGCAGCAGCAGCAGAAGCAGCAGCGGCGGCAGCAGAAGCGGAGGAGCAAGGGAGGAGGAAAGGGAGTGGGAAGGGGAGAGGAAGAGGCAAGGGGGGTGGTGTGAGAGGGGGGGGAGGGGGAGGGGATAAAGTGGGGCGGGGGGGAGGCAGGGGAAGGACGAGGGGGGATATGGGTTCAGGGGGTAACGGTAGAGGGTCAGTGGTTTCAGATACAGGGGTTACACTGGGGGGGGCAAGTGGGGTGGGGGGAGGGGCAGTAGGGGGAGTAGGAGCAAGAGGCGAGGCAGCTCCAGTGACAGAAGGAAGTGAACGAGGAGAGAGGGGAGAAAGGGGGGAGAGAGGATTGGGAGGAGCAGCAGGGAACCCTGCAGAGGGCGCGGCTCTTGAGAGAAGCAAGGCAAAGAAACCATCAAGGGTGAGACCCTTGTGAGAACCATCAAGAGTCATGGAAGCCTTGAGATTCTTGAAGGTCTTGAGCGTTCTGAGAGTCTTGAGAGTCTTTAGAGTCTTGAGAGTCTTTGGAGTCTTGAGAGTCTTTAGAGTCTTGTGCTCCCGTGAACGAACTTGTGTGCCAATGGAATTTCATGCTCCTTTCGTGCTGCTACTGCTTCATTCTTGCCAGCTCCGCTCAGTCCTGCTGCAATTCTCCTGACCTTTCTCTTGTTAATCCCCCCCTTCCTCCCCCCTTCTCCTCTCCCCCCCCCCCCCCCGTCCCTTCTCCTTCTCCCCCCCGGCATCTCCCTTACCTTCCTGTGGCCCTGCTCTCTCCATGCAGCTTCGCATGGCCAGCTAACTCAAGCAGGCTACACAATCTGGGGCATGTGCTCACATTTTGAGGCATGTGCTCACAATCCGAGGCAGGTGAACCATGCGCTGGAACTGGTAGTGAGTGATTGCATTACCGGTGTGAGACTGTGGCTCCAAGGAAGGTTGGCCATGCCCTGTGGTGGGTACCTTGCTGTGCCTCGGCTGCCAAAAATAGCTGGCGGCTGGTGCAGTGTGGTGATGTGCGGTGCTGTGCTGTGCCGAGCATTGGGCCAGTGCGGCTTCGTGGCACCTACGTATCTAACCGATGGAAATAGGAAGTTTCTTCACCAAAACCGAAGCCCTGGTGGTGCATGGCCCGAAACTAACCCCCTATGCTTTTAGGTCACAATCCGTTCGGTTGCAGGTTGATTTGCACCCATTTTTGCCAACTTAATTGCACATTCTAAAGAAGTCACCAGTTTGCACTATATTGCAGCATGAGCATTTGGCCGAGTGGTTAAGGCGTGTGCCTGCTAAGTACATGGGCTCTGCCCGCGAGAGTTCGAATCTCTCAGTGCTCGGGACGTTTTGATGCTCATTCCACCTGTATTGCTGTGTGGGACCTTCACGGCTGTTTATGCTGGGTGAGCGATGGGCATGGTGCCATGGTAGCATACCACACCGTATGGTGTGCGCCACAACCTGTTGTTCTGTCAGAATACACCTTGCAGGATAGGTACTTGGAAATTGGTTAGTGAAAAGTTTTGTGGAAACACACCAGATTTGTGTACTACCATACATAGACAATAATACTGTAACGCAAAACTCAGATTACCAGAATGATCAAACCCCGGATCAAAGGCATCCATTAAACATACATTTCCCAAGACTCTAAAGCATGTTGCTGACAACAGCAGACGCCTCCTCTGCATGTGGCACCGACCTTCATTTTCTGCACGTATTACCAATGCTGCTGCTGCTGCTGCTGGTGTCAGAACCATGCCTAAGGGCCGCATTGTTGTAAACCTGCTGCAGTGTAATACCTGCTTCAAAATCACAACCAACCATGCTGTCCATGCCATGCCTTAGCACCATACAACAATGCGGCACACTACACCCTCAAAGTAGCGATGAATAGTCTGTTTTGGTTTACTGTGGTAGTATGCGGCTTCCACTGTACTGCACTAAACTCTAGAAAACATCAACCCATATTGCCTTCCATAACCAACGCCCTCCTATTACTACTTCCGATGCGCTGCTCCCTTCATGTCGTGACCCAGCTTCCCAAGACCAACCTTCCCCAGGCCCACCTTCCCCAGCCCAGCCCCGTTTTTCTTGATCCCAAACGCCTCTCTGTGGAGAAACAGCGCGCCCCACCTCCCGCCCTTCTCCCCCTCCCCCTCCTCCGCCTCCGCCTTCCCCCTGCTGCTCCGAATCCGCGCGGCTTCATGCTGGAACACCACCAGCACGGTTCGCGTCGCCATCTGCAGAATCGTGTGGATGCACCGCTTGAAAATCCCGGGCGGCGCCAGCGACGGCTGCACCACCTGATGCAGCACCAGCCGCGACGCCACGCGCACGCCCGCGCCGATCGCGGCGCCATCTGCGGGAGGGTCCGCGGAGCCGGGCAGGCGGTCCGGGCTGCTGCTGGCGCTGCCAGGCCAATCGGCATCATCATCATCATCCGGGCTGCCCGAAGGAAAAGAATCCGAGATGGGGGATTGCGGCGCGGAGGTGAAATTGGGGGAGCAGGGGGCGGAGGTGGAAGAGATAGAGGCGAGGGAGGTGGGGAAGGGGGAGGTGGCGGAGGAGGCGGGGACGAGGAGCGGCTCGACCTGCCAGTACCCCTCGAATTTCTTCATAAAGCCGGGGTGCGTTAGCGCGAAGGTCATCTTGCGGTTCGGGCGGTCGTGCACCATGCGCACCTGCGCGTCGAACGTGCCTGTAAAGAAAGGCAGCTGGAACGCGAAGACCATGTCCATCTCGAGCTCCTTCACCCCGTTACAGTCACTCACGACGCGCTCGTTCTTGACGGATTTTATGTTCTTGAACACGCGCCGGTTGTGCGGGTCGCACACGACGGAAAAGACCGAGTCGGGCGGAAGCGCGACGGTCGCGACGCCGTCGAGCTGACAGAGAGCGTTATCTCCGACGGAAACCGTCATTGACGGAACCTCGTCGATGAAGTCCGGGTCGTCGAACCACGTGGCGAGCTGTTCGCGCATGACCTCCTCCCATGCCTCTGACGAGGCGCCGGGAGCGACGGACGTGGCGTTGGCAGTGGCGGCGATGTCGAGGGCGGGAGCCATTGCGGCGGCCGTCGATCTTTGATCGTTGATCAGCAACTAGCTGATGGTCGCTGGTTGTTTCTCGTCGAATTGAGTCTATCGGATCGACGGACCAAAGCGACGGGACACTAAGAAGCGGCGATGCGTGAAGCGAGCGAAATTGGCGGATGGAGAAGACTACGCGTACTGCAGAGACGGCGTGAAGAGACGGTGGCACGTTCCAGGGGACGAGCGAAGAGCGATGGGGAGGGCCTAGGTCGGCTGACCACAACAGTTAGCGGTGCAGATTCTTGGTGAGTGAAATTAGGGCAAGACTGTCTCTGACTTCAGACTAGAAGTAGGACACGCAAGAAACTCGGGGAGAGGTAGAGAACGCGGGGAGAGCAAGAAGGTCGGTGTCGAAAATACACCTAATACGCGGTAATTTGCACCCTGGAAATGGATAGCGAAGTCTTGGCGTATCCTGAAGGTGTGAAATTACTGGGGCGCGAAACGCCCCAGTATCTTCACAGGGGTAATCCACCGAACCGAAAAAGGTGCCACGCTGTCGCAACCCGAGCCTGACAACGCTAACTCACCCAACCGAGGCTCCCCTGATCGAAATGTCGTGCTGGCTTGGAATTTCATGTCGCTAATTTCGTGTTGCCTTTGTGTTGTGATTGCATGTCGCGCGGGGAATTCCTCTTCGGGAATTTGTAAACACATTCAGTATCGTGTCTCAATTTCAAAGTCTAGGATTCCTCTTGGATGTGCTATTATTTTGCTGTGCGGCCCGGTCCCTCAATTTTGTGCGTTCATTGGGTGTATTTTGCTCGAGCCAATTAGAAAGGATGCTGCCGATTTCATTTGAATTTGTCAAACTCCGATGTGGCAGCTCTACAATTCTGTCGTTGCTTCTAGAAGCGAGTCTCGTTTCTCCCCCCCCCCTAATGACGTGCTCCTGTGCGCAGAGCCACAAAAATGGATAGGTCGTCACCAATTCCGAGCCTATTCAGGTGGCTCTTTCTCCTACGGGCTTGTGGCCGCCCATTTAAGTGCGCCCTGAACTGTTGAAGCTTGACCGCGCCACTACGCGACATCATATAGTGTGAAAATACTAGGTGTAATATTACCGCGGGTTAGGTGTAGCCAGGCAATGTCGTCCACCAGCTTCTTGGCGGAGGGATTCCGTTCGAATCTAGGCTAGCAGTCAATCGGACGGTTTAGGATGCGCAGCGTGTACAACGCGTGTGGTGTGCGGTGACGATGTTACAGATGGCGAGGAAGTGGGGGGGGGGGAAGGAAGTTGAGCAGGTGCTCACAAGTAGTTGGGCTGGCTTGGATGGACGGGCAGGAAACTGACGGAACGACAGGATCGGGCAGAGGCAGTGAGCTCGACTGACGGACGCGATTGGGCAAAACGTTCTGTTCCGATGATTCACCGTGGGAGGCGCACAACAAGCAGTCTCATCTGACGGACGGCTCTGTTTGGAGGTTTGAAACCTGACGCCCTGAGTCGAGGCGCTTCCTTTCGGTGATGTGACTGACTACCTCTTGTGACGTTACTGGCCATTGCATTCTGTGACGGCTAAACATGCCGGTTGGTGCTAGCAACGCGTCACTGAAAACGGTTGATAGCAGCGGCTTGAGAACTGAAGATAGATGGAAGCTGCCCCCATAGTGTCAGCAGCCGCCATAGATGAATCCGCTGTAAAAGACGTCTACCCAGGCCAGGATTAAGTTCCAGTTTTCTTTTAATTATCACATCGTTATAATTCCGAAACTGCATTTGTTTTTGGGCTTTAGGGATCCGAAACTGCAAAATGAAACAATATCGTACAAGTCCAAATATGAGGCCTCACTGTGGAGGTGACGTTTTAAATGAAAGAATGTGAAAGGTGGTATAGGAGACTAAGTATAGAATCTGCAGACACAAGTACTTGAAGTAGAAAGTAATACTGGAGATACCTTCAGTAACATCCACTATTAACCAGTTATAACACCAGAATCAGTGTTTACAGCCTTGCAATACTTCAAGACTTTAACCAAGGATCTTTGCTGGAATGGTAGACTGGTAAGACAGCGGAAGTCTTAGAACTTGTTAAAGCCCGTGGCTAAAATAGCAGACCTGGAAACCACTTGAATTTGGTGCTTTGAAATCCGTCTAAGTATAGAATGGAAGGCAGCTTTGAGTTCAAGCATGAACAAGAAAAGTGCGTCGAAACAAATTCTGGTCGAGCTTGCTGATTGGAGGAATGGCGAAAGAATGCGTTTTGCTGTTTGTTGCGACACGATCATTTGGATGCGAATTGCGTAAAAACATTGTGTACATCGCACGGAGTTTCTACGACGGGTTTGGGCGAGCAGCTTGCGACGAGGAAATACAGGCGCTTTTTGACTGGGGAATTCAAGTGATTTCCAGGTCTGCAATTCCAGAATCAGCTACTGTTCCCAAAAAAAATACTGTTCTTCTCGCATTTTCACTGTTCACGGAACCACGAATTCGGTCGCACGACGCGTATGGCACTGTTCACCGAATGGTTTCGTGCAAAAACTGTCGCCAAACCGCCACGGTCAGATTCTGCTTTGCAAAACGAAATGTTTTTATTCTGTCTCGTTTACTCTAAAGATCAAGTCATGTGCCAAGTTCAAGAGCAAATTAAACAGCCCTCTTGATTGCTATTATAGCCACGGGCTTTAAGTGTTGACAAGAATTTACTGAAGAACAAGTTAGTATTTGAAGTTGTACAAGCTACTTTTATATTTGCTAGAAGTACCTATTCGGTGATGTACATGTTCGAGCTATTTGTGCTATGCGCTCTAACCGCTACTGAAAAGAGCGCGGCTGTTCGCGTGACTGAAACGGCTTGCTGACGTAATCATCCAGACGAGTGTTAAATTATATATTGAGTTATATAATTGTTAGGCTTGGTAGGTTACCGGACTTTACTGCAGATGGTACAATCCCCTCTTTGTATGTCTCTCTCTTTCTATTCCATCTCTCTTTTCTCTCCTCAACTTTTCTCCTTCCTAAACCTTACGCCACTTCATGGCTCCTCCTAGCTAAACCTCATGCCTTTCCTAGCTTCCTAGCTAAGCTAGCTTTCTAACATCCTATCAGAGCAGGAGGTCCTCCCTGCTGGACCGCCTCCTCATGCTTTCGCCACGTACTCCTCACCCTTGTTCGCTCGCGCAACCATGGCGGCCGCGCTTTGCTGCAGTTGCGGCGTCGTGATGCCGCTGGCCGCGTCGTGCCGCGGCCGTCTCGACGCGCTGCCGTGGTGTCGGGCCGTCGTGCTGCTGTCGCAGCGTCGACGTCCCGCCGCGGCGTCGACGCCGCTCTGTGACGGCGTCGTCGGGCTGCAGCCGGCCGCGCGACGCCTGTGGCACCGCTAGACCGGCCGCCCGCATGCCAGCCTATGGCGCCCCCCTCCCCCGCCCCCCCCCCCCCTTCCTTCCCCTGTGTCCTCTTCCTTTCCGCAGACGACGGCTGACTCCCGCCGGCCGTCCCACCGTCGCGGGGCCTGGCCACGTCACCGAGAGGTGCTGGCGCTGCCGCCGCCGCCGCTGTTGTCGAAGCCGCCGCCGTCGCCGCTGTCGCCGCTTGCGTCGGGGCCACGCAGCCGCACGCCGCCGTCGTCGCCGCTGTCGACACTGCCGCCGCTGCCGCCGCTGCCGCCGTCGCCGCCGCAGCCGCTGCGGTCGACGTCGCCGCCTTACGCGCCGAGGGGTCGACCGAGCTAGTGTCGCTGTCACTGTGGCTGGAATGGGGGTGCTAGGTTAGGGGGTGTGGGGGTGTGTGTGGGCTTGAGACTACCAAGCCTAGGGGGTGTGTTAAATTATATATTGAGTTATATAATTGTTAGGCTTGGTAGGTTATCAAACTTTACTGTAGAGGGTACAATCCCCTCCTTGTATGCCTCTCTCTTTCTATTCCATCTCTCTTTTCTCTCCTCAACTTTTCTCCTTCCTAAACCTCACGCCACTTCATGGCTCCTCCTAGCTAAACCTCATGCCTTTCCTAGCTTCCTAGCTAAGCTAGCCTTCTAACAATGAGCGCCATTTGCTGACGTCATTCTACGGATGCTAAATAAAGTGTAACTCGATAATATCTATCGGAACTACTTACATAAATTCTTAAGTATGATCTTATCGCAACACTCCCCTTCATTTCTGGAAGTCCGATAGTGACACTTCTTGATAATTCTGCAAAGCTCTTTTTGGAATTGGAACTTATGACGTGTCAGCTTCTTGGTGAGAAAATCTGCAGCCATTTCATTGGTTGAACAGTAGACCAATCGCATTCTCCCCTTCTCGACTTCATCTTTGACGAAGAAGTATCGCAACGAAATATGTTTCGTCCTGTTGGCGAAACCAGGTTTATGCGCAATTCTGATTGCATTTTGGTTGTCGCACTGCACGATGAACTGTGTACTTATCGTTAATTTCGCTTCCTCCAGTAGCTCTTGTAGATAGAGACCTTTGCGAGTAGCTGTGCAGGCAGCTATAAACTTGGCTTCAGCGGATGACAGACCTACTAGCTCTTGCTTTCTAGAATTCCACGAGATAGTCCCAATAGGTTCAAGCCGATAGATGAAGCCGGTACGTGATCGATGATTAGTAGTATCTGCTGCATGATCAGCATCGACGTACCCGTTAAGATATAAGGTTTTAGTAGTAGCGACTTGATATGTAAGACCGACTTCAGGTGTCAAACCAAAGTATTGTAAAGCGCGAAGTAGATCCATCCGATTCTCCCCCTCAGGTCGACGCAGAAATTGCGCGACCTGGCTAGCTGCATAGGAGAGATCTGGACGACAAGTGACAACTGCGAATAGAAGACAACCCAGTTGCTGCTGATAAACCTGTAGTTCTGCGTTATCGAGTGGAGTAGTATCCGGTTGATAGTTCGTCGGTAGAGATCGGTAAGGATTGGTGATAGTAGAAGGTGTAAGATTGAATCGTTCGGCTAGTGTAGCTGCGTACTTGGAAGCTGTTAGATGAATAGCAGTTGCTGTTCGATGGATATTTAGGCCGAGAAACTGTGTGACCGTGGGAGTTGCAGTAATCTGTAGATGTTGTTGAAGGCTCTGTTCGAAGGCAGTGGCGAGTGAATCAGTGGTGCTAATGTAAAGTAAATCGTCGACATAGGCGACGAGCAGAATGTAGTCAGTACCGTCGGTAAGCAGGTACATTCCTTGGTCGTGTGGAAGCTGACGAAACCCGGCAGTTAACAGCTGACGATGTAGATACTGTTGCCACATTCGTGGAGCCTGTTTGATGCCGTAGAGAGACTTTCTGAGATGACACACGCTAGGAGGATTAGTTTCGTAGGAATGCGGGTACTCAACCATAATTAAAGCGTCGACGTGTACATATAAAAATGCATTTGCGACGTCGATTTGTCGAAGTCTGAAATTCCGGTAGGCTGCGAGGCAGAGGAGAATTCTGACACTAGGGTGTCGGCTGAGGGGAGCGAAATTTAATTCGTAGTCGAGTCCAAATGTTTGCTCGAAGCTGCGGACGACCCATCGCGCCTTGAACTTTTCAAAGGATCCGTCGGCGTTTGTTTTCACACGGAAAACCCATTTCCCGGTAAGCACTTTACTCCCCTTTCTATCTTTCAGCGGGATTAAATCTCAGGTGCCTCTCTTTTCCAGAGCTGCTAATTCTCGGTCCATGGCTTCGTGCCATTTTTCCCTGTGTTGACTTATCAAGGCTTGACGCACTGTTTTCGGCTCCAGAATCCAACTGCTGTTTGACTGTACTGCTACTGCGAGTCCCAATACCTGTAATCCAGTTTATGTAAAACGGGGACGATTTGAGTTGACACCGAAGACGTTGTGTTCTGACCCCTGTTCCCCCCCAACTTCTTCAGGTGTTGCACGGATGGCTGCTTCGGAGACAGCTGGCATAGGCTGCTGCTGACGATAGCGTTCGTAATCAAGAACCACATTGCGCACATCCTCTGAGTCTGCTTCGCTGACTGGGATAAATTCAGCAGTTCCTGCTGACGTGGTTGGCACGGGGAAATCGGTGGCAGCTTCGGATGACTTGGCGACGTCCTCATCCAGTACATCTGCTTCGGCCTCGTCGGTAGCAAACGCACGCGAGCCTTCAAACAGTCTGGCACGATTGGCTGCTGCGGCCTGGTGAGCACAAAAAATAGGTAAGGTAAGTCTTTCATAGAAAAGACAATCACGGGCTGGTACGATTTGACTCGTACGAAAAATCCATCACGGGCTGCTTCTCTATTCCAAGATGGATTCCCCACTTAGCCCGTTCTGATTTTTTTCCCAGTGCTGCAGTTGGAGGTCGTTATTGGACGATACACCCAAAAACTCGTATTTTTTGTGTGTTGCCAACTGTTTTTGTCCACTGCAAATGTGGCGAGGAAAATAGCGGAAGAGAAGTCGTTGACAGCAAGTTGTGTAGAACAACTTCATGGTCCAAAGTGTCACAGGATCGAATGTGTCGAGGAAAGGTTGCACTATCGATCAGTACAAGGCGCTTTTATACTTCCAGAGTACATCAAGTAACCAGGTTTATCCTATCTAAAGGAATAGACCCTTCTAGAAGATAGAATCACCCTGCGTATAGCCACGCGATGCTATTGGCTTTAAGAGATTACGACAGGATTACGCTAGATAGCGTGTCTAGAACATTCCATGCTTGGTCGGTGATATAATTATAATAAGGGAAGAAACCAAAGGATAATGGAAAATGGGGAATATGAGGCAAAAGGAGATGAGATAAAAAGAGGAATGAAATGAAGATGAAATATGGAAAAGGCCAAGTGGTGTAACGGAGTCGTACTCTTACACTTCCCCCCCTCAAAGCTGGGTGGTAGAAGTAACACCCTGCTTGACAAGGTAGTCATGCAGAGGACGACGGGCGTTACCCATGTCGGTCTCAGAGACCCAGCTGTCCTCAGAAGGATCATAGCCCTTCCAACGAATAAGAAGCTCCACGGTGCCATTCCGACGACGGCGGTGTGCAAGCACGGACTCGACCTCGTACTCGGGTTCATTTTGGACGAGGACGGGTGGCGGCGGCGGCGGTTGGCGTCCGACGAAGATCGTATTAGGATCTCGATAGGGCTTCAGAAGTTGGACATGGAAGGCGTTGTGAATCTTCCAGGTAGCTGGTAGGCGTAAGCGGAAGGTAACAGGAGTGACCTGTGCTTCAACGAGAAAAGGCCTGCAGAAGCGAGGTCGAAGTTTAGATGGGAGATGGCTGATGTCCAGGTTGCGGGTGTCAAGGAGAACCTGGTCTCCCACGGAAATGGTGTGGTCGTTGCGATGGCGATCGGTCTGGCGCTTCTGTTGCTGTTGAATGTCAAGGAGGCGCTTATGGGTCCGATCCCAAAGCTGATGCATGGTTGTGATGAAGTCGTGTGCAGGTTGGACTGTTGCTGGTGTTGTCGGTTTCTGTGGTGTGAGTGGGTGGCGTCCGTAGCAGAGGAAGAACGGCGTCTGTCCCGTAGCGGCGTGTGTAGCGTTGTTGTAGGCAAACTCCAGGACGGGTAGGTGCAAGTCCCATTTGGAGATGTCGTCCTTGCAGGCTGCTCGGAGGAGTTGCTCAACAATTTGGTTGAGGCGCTCGGTCTGTCCGTCTGTCTGCGGATGGTATGCGGATGACATGGCGAGTTTGGTGCCGAGCAGAGACATAAGTTCCTTCCAGAACTTGCTAGTGAACTTGGGGTCTCGGTCGGAGATGAGTGTAGTTGGGATGCCATGCTGTGAGATGATGTGACGAACGAAGAGCTGTGCTGTCTCCTCGGTGCGTGCCGTCGTGTGTGTCGGGATGAAGTGTCCCATTTTGGAGAACTTGTCAATGACGACAAGGATGGCGTCATGACCGCTGGAGGTAGGTGGTAACCCGGTGATGAAGTCTAGGCTAACCACTTGCCATGGTTGTTCTGGGACAGGAAGAGGCTGCAGTAGTCCCGCCTTTTTCTGCTTGCTGCTCTTCATCCGCTGACATGTATCACACGAGGTGACGAATTTCTGGACGTCGTCTGCCATATGGGGCCAGTAGTAGTGTTTGGCGATACCGGTCAGCGTCTTGTTGCTACCGAAGTGTCCGGCGTAGAGGACGTCGTGGTATTCTTCGAGTAGTAACTGGCGCAAAGGAGGGTAATTGGGTACCCAGATTTTTGTGGATCCCTTCCGGTACGCGATGTCACTGTCCCACTGTAGCAGATGTCGCTTTTCTGCCAAGGGAATTTCGGGGTCGATGGCGTACCCGTGTGTGAAGAGTCCCTTGAGTAGTGGATTCATCCCTTCGATCTGAATCGCGGCAACGTGTGCAGGCCGGCTGAGCGCGTCTGCTTTGTTCTTGTGGCCGGGCTTGTACACGATGTCGTAGTGGAAGTGTGTCTCGAGGAAGTCGATGCACCGGACCTGCCGCCTGGAAAGGTTGGGTTGTGTCTTCAAATATTTCAGGCTGCAGTGGTCGGTGTAGACGGTTGTTCTTCGTCCTTCGAGATAGCATCTCCACGCTTTGAAGGCGATGATGATAGCAAGAGCCTCTTTGTCGTGTATCGGGTAGTTGAGTTCTGCCCCGTGCAGTTTCTTGCTGAGGTAGGCAATGGGTTGCAGTCCATTCCCTTGGTCTTGCATCAAGACTGCACCCACGGCCTGATCACTGGCATCTGCTTCAATGACGTAGTCACGTTCGGGATCTGGCAAGATGAGCACCGGTGCGGATGTTAGTGCTTGTTTCAGCTGCTCCACGGCTTCCTGGTGCTTCGTCTCCCATTTGTAGGGCATGTTCTTCTTCAACAGATTCGTGAGTGGTGCCGCGAGTTTCGCATACTGTGGCACGAACCTGTTGTAGTAATTAGCGAAGCCTAGGAACTGCTGCAACTCCTTCACGTTCTCGGGTGTCTTCCACGTACGTACGGCTTCGATTTTCTTGGGGTCGACGTGAACTCCTTGAGCGCTCACCATGTGTCCTAGAAATTGGACCTTTTCTAGGGCGAATTCGCTCTTGGACAGTTTGACGTAGAATCGTTCTCGTCGAAGAATTTCGAAGACGCG